TAAGAGATCATGCATAAAAGAGATCAAAAGAACTCAAATATTTTCATGGATATAAAAAGATAGATTTGATCATAAACTCAAAGTTCATCGATCCCAACAAACACACTGCAAAAGAGTTACATCATATGGACCTTCAAGAGACCATTGTATTGAGAATCAAGAGAGAGAGAGGAATCCATCTAGCTACTAACTACGGACCCGGAGGTCTACAAAGAACTACTCACGCATCATCGGAGAGGCACCAATGGAGGTGGTGAACCCCATCCGAGATGGTGTCTAGATTGGATCTGGTGGTTCTGGACTCTGCGGCGGCTGGATCAATATTTCATCGACTCCCCTAGGGTTTCTAGAATATTGGGGTATTTATAGAGCAAAGAGGCGGTCCGGGGGCCACTTGAGGTGGGCACAACCCACCAAGCGCAGCCAGGGCCCGTTCTGTTCCTTCTGGACCATAAAAAAATTTCATAAAGTTTCGTGGCATTTGAACTCCGTTTGATATTGATTTTCTACGATGTAAAAAACATGAAAAAAATAGCAACTGGCACTTGGCACTATGTCAATAGGTTAGTACCAAAAAATGATATAAAATAATTATAAAACATCCAAGATTGATAATATAACATCATGAAACAATTAAAAATTATAGATACATTGGAGACGTATCAACCATCTCTAGGTATTTCAAGTAGGTGCTTTTTGCTATTCGGGAGCTTAGAGGAGAGATGATCAGGAGACCATCTGGCTAGACTCCACCCAAGATACACGGAAGCCCAAGATGGTATCCATGCTTCAAGGTGAGCATTGACAATATACACTTTTCATGGCTTGTTATGCTTGTATTGTTCAAGTGAAGCACTACACAGGCTTGTGATGCCATTTTCAGGATTGCATTGGGGCAATAGATGGTACTCATGTCACTGCCAGAGTTCCTAGGTCACAGTCTGCAGCATACAGGGGGAGGAAGCACTACACAAGCCAGAATGTGCTTGTTGTTGTTGACTTTGATCTAAAGTTCACATATGTGCTGGCTGGCTGGAAAGGGTCAGCGCATGATGCTAACATTCTCAGTGATAGTATGAGTCGACCTGATGGGATCAGCATCCCCGACGGCAAGTTCTACCTTGGACATGTCGGCTATGCATGTCGGTCGGGTATTCTTCCATCCTTCGGGAAAACCAGGTACCATCTCAACGAGTTCTCTGGTAGGAACTATCTTAGGACTGCACAGGAGCTGTTTAATCTCAGACACTCCAGTCTTCGAGTAACTGTTGAGAGGGCATTTGGAACTCTGAAGAATAGGTTTAAGATCCTGGATCAGAAGCCATTCCACCCATACTCCACTCAGGTTAAGCTTGTTCTTGCTTGTTGCATTTTGCACAACTGGATCCTCCAGTGGGGCTTTGATGAACACGTGCTTGAGGAGGAAGTGGTCGAGCCTGACGATGTTGTTAGCTCCGGCCATGGTGTGGAGACATTTGACAATGACGCTTGAAAAAACAAAAGATTGGAGTGGGCAGAGGCAATGCGGCTTAACAGAGGTCGGTGCAAGATTTAAAGAAGATGGAAGAAGAAGAAGAAGCAGCAGCAGCAGAAGCGGAAGCAGAGGAAGATCTGGTAGCAGCAACACCGATGAATTATCATCTATTTAGCCAATGGCTCTTAATAATGTAAACTGTTATTTGATACTCCCTCCGTTCCGAAATGCAGTGCGCATAGTTTTTTGGGGAAAATTCCAAATTGTAGTGCGTGTTTGCTACTTTGCCCCGCTCTTGACGAAAATATCCCTTGTCTTCTTCCTCGCATATCTCCTGCTCCCGTACGCATCGCCTCCGCCTCGCCGTGTCCATGGCCTCGCAACACGGAGGAGGAGCTCCAGCGCGTGCACGCACGTGAAGGTCGCTGGCACAGAGCAGATTCACTAGCCGATGGAGCTTCAGCGCGAGCACGCGCACGCGAGTGTCGGCGGCGTAGAGCATATTCACCACCAGTCGGGCGCGGTCACCGCCACCAGGCCGTTCAACACGTGCAGCTGCGCGCCACGTCTGGCGGCAGCGTGAACCGACCGACGACGGCGAGAATCAAGCTGGACGACTCGGTCAATAAGATGACAGAGGGGTCGGCGGCGGCGGACGCCGGTAGCAGGATCTGGCTGCGGGCGCCTAGCGTGGTCATCAAGTGGAACTTCCTGGCGCCGTTGTGCTTGTGGGGGAGGTGGGGTGTCTCCGCCGGGCAAGCGTGCGCGGGTAGAAGGAGAACCTGGCCCGTGCGTCCGCTTCTACTTCGGCATGACCATGTCTGGAGTTACTCGTCCCCGCCCAGCCTCTCTCTCCATGGCGGGCTTCTCTACGTCCACTGCAGCAGGCATCAGCGAGTTCGCCACCAGTAGCTGGAGCAACGCACCCGTGTACGGCTTCTTGGCGGCCGCCGCGGCCGCGTACGGCTGACCACGGTGACGCTGGCTGAAGGATGAAGGGGAGGGGGGAGGAGGAGAAAGAAGATGGGGAGGAATAAGAAAAAAGAGGAGCCGCCTGACAAACGTCGACGCCGGAGGAGGCGCCGCCTGACGACGACGGCACCGGAGACTAGCGTCGGCAACGCATGGCTGGAGTACTAATCGGTACTAGTAGTACTAGTACTACTTGGACCGGGCGTGAGAGAGATGGAGTGGGGGCTTTCTTGTCCAAAATTTAATGCCAGCACACTCATTGGTATGTGTGTTAGAAACTATGCGCATTAGATTTTGGAACGGAGGGAGTAGTAGTTAGGATGAACTGTCATTTGTTTAACTAGCTGACACTACATGTTTAGATTATGTGGGATAAGCTCACCACTACATGTTCATTGGCCCGATCCTCGCACGCAGATGTTTAACGCCGCTGCACGTACTAAGCGAAAAGGACCACGGTGCAATTTCCCTGGAGACAAAATGTTTTCGCCACGGTCCTTTCGACTCCGGGAGATTGGGAGATGGCCCCTTTACTTTCACTCACCACTTGCACAGTCTGCGCGGCTGCCTGCTGCGCCGGTGGCAGGGGAGGGGCTTTAAATTGGATCCGCTTAGGTCACTGCATATGTGGCGGACGTGCGAGACAGATTTGGCGTCGAGGCTTTACTGCCCTCCTCTCTGGGATCGTCGGGTGCCCGCCTGCAGTTACATCTCCTTCCTCTCTCTCACCCACCACGGCGCGATCTCGGGTCTCAAGTCTGAACCACATTCACTGCTTCCGGTCGCCAGAAAATATGGCATCAGGGCGGCACTGCCACGCCGGGCAATTGCAGCTCTGGCCGTTCAAAGATCGGGCAGCATAGCACCCAATCCAATCCAATCCAATGCAGTCCAGTCCAGCTGGAGCTGCTGCTGCTGTGCCACTGTACCGTCAGAGTTTGTCCTCTGAATCATTAACCAAGGTCGCAGGTGTAATGTGATGGCCTACTGTACACCAGTACTCCATCCACGGCCACTGAATTGGTTGCTCAACGGAGGCCGTACCGAGTGCACAATGCTGGTGCCCGTGCCTACCGCTACCATTACCAGAAGACAGCGATTCAGCCTCCACCAAAAACTGGCGCCTTTTTCCTCCAAAACAGGCTGCCAGCGTCGCGTCTCCTGATCTCCAAACCCAACGAAACCCGATTTTCTCCAGACGAATGGGAGAAAACTGAAACGGAGGTAGTACCGTTTCAGTCGTTGCAGAGCGGGTCTCGCAGGGGCTTTATGACGGGGCAGCGACCCTGCTGCAGGAGTGCCTTAATTGTGCAAGCACAAGGGACCAACAGAGGAGTAATTTGCACATGTGGCCATGGACAGGTGTCGCTGTGTGTGTGTGGAGAGCTCGACTCGGTAACAACAGGTCGCGGGTGCAAGGGAGGGAGACGATTGGTCAGTCCAATTATTGTACGTGTGCCTGGCCGTAGTCGTCGAGGGAAAAAAATTACCAGGAACGGTGCACTGCCTCTGATCCTGAACGATGTGAAAAAGGGGGAATGCAGGGGTTTCGACGTCCCATTCAGAATTTGGAGTTGGATGTGACTGTTGCCGCCGGACGACGTGTGCTTGGCTCACCTCGATCAGGCGTTGGTACGTCTGTTGAACTAACCGCCCCTGTGAGTCTCTGGGTTTGATCGTCAGATACAGGATAGGGCAGCAGCAGCAACATGACAGCATGAGTTGTAAATTGTATATGTCCGGTTTATATCCTTAGGTTGGTTAACCAGCGCGATTATTCAGATGCAAGCATGACCGTGCGCCGGTATACCCTTTTTTCGGTCACTTTCCCGTCCTATTTAATTAGTATATCATGCCGAAGCAAGTGATTGGAGCTCAACTGTCTGCAGCTCAAAGGGATAGTATCAGGCAAGCAGGCCATGTAAGTACTGCTCCGCCGTGCGACTAATAATGATCACAGGCACAGTTTGTACTACGACAAATAATGTGCATCTAACAACAACTAAATTTCAGGAGCATTGGCGTTAACCGTCACCCTGCTGAGCAGAAGGCCGATGGGAACGGCGCGGATGCCGGAGAAAGCGATCCCGGTGCACGACGAGGAAGACTGTAGTCGCACGCAGGCAGCGCAAGGTCCCGTGCCCGTGTGTGAGCGCGAAGAAGCAGGCGCCCCGAGTGGCCAGCCAAGGCGAGCTCACGCTCCGGTTGGTGGCGGTAGCCAGTCTCCTCATTTAAACTGCCCATCTGCCCCGGCCCTCCCCTCCGCCCCGCCACTCTATTAAACCCCGCCACGCCACCACCTCCTCCGCAACCGCAACCGCAGCCCCGGCATCTCACCTCACCTCGTCGCACTCCAACCCCACACCCAGCCAGCACCCGGAGACGTGTCCGTGCGCGCAGCACCAACCCAGCGGTGCGCCGCAGAAGCAGGCAGGCAGGCCGGTCTGCCAGTGGCGCGCGGCGTGCGGGACGGAGCCAGAGCGCGAGCCGTGACGTGCGGGCGCGGGCCGGGCTAGAGACTCGCCCCTAAGTAGCACCGATCGACGGACCGGTCATGCCGAGCGCGCTGGGGAGCGGCTTCGCCGGGTCGGTGAGGCTCAAGTACGTGAAGCTGGGGTACCAGTACCTGGTGAACCACTTCCTGGCGCTGCTGCTGGTGCCGGTCATGGCGGCCACGGCGATCGAGCTGGCGCGCCTCGGCCCCGGCGAGCTGCTCGCGCTCTGGCGCGCCCTCCACCTCGACCTCGTGCACATCCTCTGCTCCGCCTTCCTCGTCGTCTTCGTCGCCACCGTCTACTTCATGTCGCGCCCCAGGCCCGTCTTCCTCGTCGACTACTGCTGCTACAAGCCCTCGCCCAGCTTCCGGGTGCCCTTCACCACCTTCATGGAGCACATCAAGCTCATCTCCAACAACGACAGGAGCCTCCGCTTCCAGACCCGCATCCTCGAGCGCTCGGGGCTCGGGGAGGAGACCTGCCTCCCGCCGGCCAACCACTACATCCCGCCCAACCCCAGCATGGAGGCCTCCCGCGCCGAGGCGCAGCTCGTCATCTTCAACGCCATCGACGACCTCGTCCGCCGCACGGGGCTCAAGCCCAAGGACATCGACATCCTCGTCGTCAACTGCAGCCTCTTCTCCCCGACGCCCTCCCTCTCCGCCATGATCATCAACAAGTACAAGCTCCGCAGCAACATCCGCAGCTTCAACCTCTCCGGCATGGGCTGCAGCGCCGGCCTCATCTCCATCGACCTCGCGCGCGACATGCTCCAGGTAAGTACTAATAAACCCATTGATTCGATCACCAGCTAGCTTGCGATATGGGTATGGATCTGATCATGTGATCTCACAGGTGCATCCCAACTCGAACGCGCTGGTGATCTCGACGGAGATCATCACGCCCAACTTCTACCACGGGAGCCGGCGGGACATGCTGCTGCCCAACTGCCTGTTCCGGATGGGCGCGGCGGCGATCCTGCTGTCGAACCGGCGGCGGGAGGCGCGGCGCGCCAAGTACAGGCTGGTGCACGTGGTGCGCACGCACAAGGGCGCGGACGACCGCGCGTACCGGTGCGTGTACGAGGAGGAGGACGACGAGGGGCACTCGGGCATCTCGCTGTCCAAGGAGCTCATGGCCATCGCCGGCGAGGCGCTCAAGTCCAACATCACCACCATGGGCCCGCTGGTGCTGCCCATGTCGGAGCAGCTGCTCTTCTTCTTCCGCCTGGTGGGGCGCAAGGTGGTCAACAGCAAGTGGAAGCCCTACATCCCGGACTTCAAGCTGGCGTTCGAGCACTTCTGCATCCACGCCGGCGGCCGCGCCGTCATCGACGAGCTGCAGAAGAACCTGGAGCTGTCGCCGCGGCACGTGGAGGCGTCGCGGATGACGCTGCACCGGTTCGGCAACACCTCCAGCAGCTCGCTCTGGTACGAGCTCGCCTACATCGAGGCCAAGGGCCGCATGCGCAAGGGCGACCGCGTGTGGCAGATCGGCTTCGGCAGCGGCTTCAAGTGCAACAGCGCCGTCTGGAAGTGCCTCCGCACCGTCAAGACGCCCACCGACGGGCCCTGGGAGGACTGCATCCAGCGCTACCCCGTCCACATCCCGGACGTCGTCAAGCTGTGAGGAGCTCAGCTCGCCGCCGGCGGCCGTGCCATTACCCTGCACGTACGTGTCCCCCGAAACCTGGAGCTCTGTGGGGGTCCCGACCAAATTAAACCAATCTCTTTCTCTCCTTTGCTCTCTTTCTTCCTTTTCCTTTTTCTATTTTTCGTCGCCATAAATGGAATTACATGGATACTCGTGGGATGCGTCACACAAGGAGGGGATCATTCATCATTCACAGGGAGATTAGTCGGCTACCCGTATATTTATGTTGAATTGGAGGACGCTAACGTGGGCGTGCGTGGTTGTTAAATTGTTCGTGTCACGGATTTCCACTGCGGTGAAAGGGATACTTACATTGGCACTGGGGGCTTTGTCAATCAAATTCCCTTCGGTTGTGTAAACCTTCTTCATGCATACATGCATGCACTTCTTTCTCGGTATTGCTTGTAGGTTAGTAGATGATGATGTAACTGCCAGTGTGTATTGTTTGGTGTCGTGTCATTAGAGGTTTTCAGTTCTTACGCATATTGTTGAATGCTACTCCCTCTGTAAACTAATATAGGATCGTTTAGATCAGTAATCTAAACAATCCTATATTAGTTCACAGAGGGAGTAGTATACTTCTCTGCAAGTATTCTGTAAGTGCAACCACCAGTTACTCATGAATTTCATGGTCGTATAATTTGAAGAAAACTCATGGTCCACACAAGACATTACTCCCTCCGTCTAGGTGAGTAAGTCATCTTAGACTGTGCACTGTGACCAAGGAGGAGAAAAAAACGAAAAAACTTAATGTTCATTTGCTAATTAATAGCATTGCATGCAATGAACTAACCACTGCATGTCGTGTTTGATAGTCTCAAGTCATTAAAAGCATGCATACCCCACATCTCTTATTGGTTGACATGTCAAGAAACAAAAAAGAAGTAGAATTTAATGCACCGCGCCTAAGTGTTTTGGGATTATTTGGTTTTCGTAAGGTGACTTACACACCTAGACGGAGGGAGTACGAAAAGACAGAAATCCATGTGCACAATGAGCTCCCTTGCTTCTTCGGAGGAATTTCTTTTCTCTGACAAAGATGCTTTTCCTTCCTGCCTGCCATCAAAGGCTGGCTCCGGGAACACTTCACTCTCGTTCCGTTACGAGTGTGCAATATAGGTACTCCACCATGCCCGCTCCCAACCCACCACCGCTCCACTGGCCCATACCGGCGACGCTCGCTCCGGCGTCGTCGGCCACACCTCACTCCCTTCCCGCTACCCTCCTGGCCGGCCTCCACCGCCCGTCCCAGCAGCTCCTCTGGGAGTTCCCTGCTTCGCAGGCCTCGTCCCCGGTGCTCCCAGGTGTGCCCGATCCAGATCTGAACTTCGACACGCCTCCGCCTCCTTCCCCGGGTCGACCGCATCTCCCTGCTGATGAGGTGCAGGTGGTGCTGGAAACCCCTCCTGGCCTGCTCGCCAACGCTGCTTCCCCACCTACCGGCTTCAATGCGGCTGGGGCTGCCCGTACCGCCATATCGTCGGACGCCAGGGATCTTAATGGAGGCTCTGCCGCGGGATGGCTCGCTTGCTTTCGGCCTGCGCCAGTGCAGGATGCCGCTGAGCAATCAAGGCCGTGCGGCGCGGCGGCCGCGGGGCTCGAGGTTGAGAAGACCGCGCCATGGGTTGAGGTCAAATCACGGCGGCCACGCTCGCCGGCCAAGCCAACTGGGGCATTCACTGCGCGCGCTCCTCCCCCTGTGTGGATAAAGGGGCTCTGCTTCCACTGCCTTGGCCACCGACACCGGGCCGTCGACTGCCGAAACCCCGTCACCTGCAGGCGCTGCTTCGCTCGGGCCACTGGGCGCGCGACTGCTTCCATGCCCCGCGCCCTCATCTGCGTCCCGGCACGCCTAGGCAGTGCACAACGCCACCCCCTCCGCCGCCTCGGATCCTGCAGAAGGCCGACCAGTCCCCGTCCCCGCCGGCTGCGATGGCCTCCGCTGTTGCGACCTCGGCCTGGGCTGGCGACCACTCCGTCCGCCCGGAGGTGTCCGCCAGCATCCACAACACCCCCGCCATGCAGCTGGAGATGGCCCTCCTGGAGTCCAACGCCGTCGTCGCCTGGTTCGACCGGGACCGCCAAGTCTCCACCAACGAGATGGCCGCGTTCCTCGCTGACAGGCTCGGGGCGCTGCAACCTGACGTGGTCGTCGTCCTCCATCACCCTGAGAAGTATCTCGTGCGGTTCATCCACAAGCATCACGCCGAGCTGGCCGCCTCCCGTCGTGTGCTGCCGTTCGGGGACACCAAGCTACAGCTGCGGGCGTGGCGGCTTGAGGCGCACGCGGAGCACGTCGACCTCGACCAACACGTTCGCCTATGCCTCGAGGGCCTCCCCCTCTATGCCTGGGATGAGCTCGCTGTCGCCAATGCTGTCGGCTCCGGGTGCTCCCTCGACTACATCGAACCCGCGTCCAAGTTGAAGACGGACACCCAGGTCCTGGGCCTCTGGGCATGGACGCCCTGCCTTAGCAAGGTCCCGCGAGTGAGCTGGGTCACCCTTCCCGCTCGCAACGGGGGTGCTCCGATCTACGGCAGGAAAGGACTCGAGCATCGGGTCCTCGTACACCTCGACATCCATGAGGATCCCTCCTCGGGCAGGCTGGTCTCCAAGCCATTCACGTGGCGCTACAACATCGTGGATGGCGAGGCCAAAGCTCGCGACAGGCGTGAGCGCGTCTCCCGTCCCGTGCGTCAGGATCGGCGCGACCGAGATGAAGATGGTGACCGCGGTCGTCGCCGCGACGGGCGCGACGCGTCCAGGGGAGGTCAAGACAGCGGTGCACGTCCCCACAGGAGCCATTCCCGTGCGCCTCGCGACGATCAGCGGCATGGCCAAGACAGGGGAAGCAGGGTTGACCACCGCGGCAACCGCGACGGCCGTAGGCGTGCTGCATCGCCGGCGCCCCTGCCGGCCGGCGCCCCTATCCTCTTGGGCTCCGGCGCCAACTGCGACCCCGAGGCTAGCGCCATGGAGATGGGTCGAGCCCCTCCGGCCATGGCTCTGGCTGCTCCTGTGGAGGCTCGTGGTCGCAGCCCGTCTAGGCACGCGCGCCCTGGTAGTGCCAGGCGGGACTCAAGGGACGCCCGCACTCCTCCGGCTTCGCCGCCCCTCTCCCCCACGTCCGTGCTCCGCTCACCACCCCCCTCCAAGCATGACGAGGCTAGGGCTGCTATAGAGGCCATTCAAGAGAGGAGTCCAGCACTCATTGAGCTTTGCTCGCCGGTCTCCATGTTGAGCCCCCTCCTCCACGTTTCGCCAGTACGCCCTCCCGGCTTTGAGGCATCTCCTACACCACCCCTCCTCAGCAGTGGCCCCCTGCAGCGAACCCCGACCTCTCCACGGGCTCGTAAACGTGCAGATGATGATGTGTTGCCGGCCGGGGCTTGCTGAACTGCTTGTGCCAAGCCTGGGGGGTGGCTCCCCCGGAGCCATTGTTCTGTGCTCGCCAGCCTGCGCTGTTGATGTGTGCTCCGGATCTCCCTCCTTCCCCTGCTTCAACACCACCCAGGAAGCCGACAGCCCGCCGGAAAACTCTCGCTGGCGTGAAGATCTCCAAGGTGAGTGGCCTCTCCCTGCAGAGGATCAGGCGCCCTGTTGTCCTCGCAGCAATGACGTCGGCGGCACAGGCGGCTGAGCAGTTTATTGGCCGCAGCCTGGGCATCATCAAGAACGGGCAGGACGTCACCACTGCCACCCTGGATGCCTTCGCTGTAAAGTTCAAAGAGCAGCTTCCTCCTGATGTAATTGTGGCCATGAGAGAGTTCTTTGAGCTAGACAATGGGGCTGTTACAGCAGTGGAAGATGCTCTGATCGAGCATGGTGGAGCAGGGGTCCTCAACACTGTGGGAGCAGATGTTGACGCGGGCTCGCTGGATGTGAACGCCTGAGGTTTAGATCTTGTAGTAGCTGCTGCTGGGTGCGTTGTTCCTCATGTTAGTGCAACATCTGTTGTTTTGTAAGGGTCTGTTCCAGTTCAAGGGCAATAGCTCTGTTTGTGGAAGAACTACAACTCTGTACGTGGTTTGTACCAGTTCAAGGGCAATAGCTCATGTTAGTGCAACTATGTACGTGGTTTCGTCCATTTGGCCTTGTGCTAGTCCATGCTTCCATCTTGTTCATGCATGTGTGCGCCCCCATCATGGGCTTCATCCAAACCTCAGGGCCACCTTACTTTCCAATGACAGTACAACCGATAAACACAATTAGCTGGAATGTGCGGGGGCTTAATTTCCCAGACCGAAGAGCTACTGTTAAAGCAACGCTTGCCGACTCCTCCTGCCAGCTTGTCTGTCTTCAGGAGACTAAGTTGAGTGTTGTCGACAAATTCATCATTGTGTCACTTGGGGGAAACAGACTGGGTGGCTTTGCCCAGCGTCCGGCGAACGGAACTAGGGGCGGTATCCTATTGCTATGGGATGAGAATCTACTTGATGCTTCCGACTTTGTCACCTCTGCATACTGTATTTCTGCCACGTTCTGTATACGTGCTTCTGGCTCCTGCTTCAAGCTCACTTCGGTGTATGGCCCCACTGATTCCTCGTGCAAAGATGCTTTTTTTGCGGAGTTGCTCAACCACAAACCACCTACGGATGTGGCTTGGTTGGTTGCCGGGGACTTTAACCAAATTTACCGAGCCAGGAATAAGAACAAGAGGAACGTCAACACGAGCAGAATTAACCGCTTCCGGTCGACGCTTCATTCCTGTGAACTCAAGGAAATCCACCTCCAGAACAGACGCTTCACTTGGAGCAACGAACGCGCCAATCCCACATTGTGCAAGCTTGATTCCTTCTTCTGCAATGCCGAGTGGGACACCACTCACAACAATCACTTGTTACATGCCCTGTCGTCTTCCCTCTCTAACCATTGCCCTCTGTTGCTCGCTGATGACAAGGGCCCTAGGCGCCCGCGTACATTCAGATTTAAGAATTTCTGGGTATCTTTGCCCGGATTTCATGAGGTCGTTCTTG